CCCTGCTCTGTGCATGACAGGGGGCGGCGCCCCAACTCCCCAATCGGCCCTGCTCTGAGCCCGCCCAGGGGCTGCACCTAGGGATTGGGCCTGCCCTCTGCCACCTGGGAGCAGGCCTAAGCCAGCAGGTCATTATCTCCTGAGCGGTCCCAGACTGCGAGAGGGCACAGGCCAGGCTGAGAGACCCCCTCTCCCCTCCCAAGTGCACAAATTTTTATGCACCGGGCCTCTAGTAAAATATATCTTTAAAAAAGATTAAGGAAACAAGTACTGCTCAGAGAAACACCTAGGGGTAGTGATTTTTATGGAAATTAGCACTAACATCTCTCTCTCTGAAAATCAGAAAGAAAATGTAAGTGAAAAATCATTTACTCTCTTTTCCTAAAGAAAGGATCCAGATAGTTATATCCATTCCGTATACATAAAGCCACACTGTACTACATTACCCTGTTTTTATAAGGCTCCAGCACTTCCTTAGCTTCATCACAAAGGGGACATGGATCCTACAGGAAGGAAAAATAAAGCCATGAAACCCAAGAATGGCAGCAACCTGACAAAAACCACAGAAGCAGATTATACGTATTTTAACAGGTTGTTTTCTACACTTTTATTTCCATAATAAAACAATGTCACAGAATCTTATAAATAGCTAATATTTCATAGTAAATGGGCTTTCAGCATTTTTCAGTTGTTTGATTTGTCTCCATAAATCAATCTACCTACCTAATAAATTTAGATGTTTACATTTGTTACACATACGTATGTGTATATACACATAACATATATGTACATAACAAATGTATCTATTTATTAGGTATGTATTACAGGTAGATATATAGATACATATGTACATATACACATACACAATACATTTAGGTGCTTACATTTTTTTTGTCACTGGCTTCATCTAATTGATAGCTGGGAAAATTATTTTTCACTGATCTATACTCCAAGGAGCACCTTCCTGGCCTGGCTGACATCACCAGAGGGGCTAAAAGTCTATCTTGAATGGGGGACACTGAGCTTTGCCAGCCTGTTCCTCCTAATCCACAGGAATAAACCCACTGGAATAGAGTCAGATAATGAGTGTCCCATCTTTAAAAAGGGAAAAATATTTCAGATGATGAATGTACCAACTCTTTAATGTCTTGTCTCTTCCTCATTATAAGTGTCAGCAATAGGTTTTCCAGATAATTCTCCACCTGAGAAGCAAGCACATTTTAGTGCCTGTTGTTGTTTGTACTCTAACCACATAGTAGAGGAGTCTGTTGAGAATGCTATGGATTGTTGGCAGATTTTAAAGGCTTCTCAGGACTAGATTTCATGAATAGGAACTAGCTATAGGTTCTCTTGCAACGAGCTAAGAATATACTCAACATTATTGGTGCTTATATAAAACTAGATGCCCGGTGCACGAAATTTGTGCACAGGTAGGGTCCCTAGGCCTGGCCAGTGATCAGGGCCAATCTGTGGGGTGACTGGTGGGGCAATCGGGGGGCCCCTAGTGGCACCTGCCTTGGTTGACCTGGCACCACCCACTCGCTGGCCTCGCTCTCCACCGCTGGTCGCCTCCCTCTGTGGGGTAACTGGTGGGGTGATCAGGGGGGCCCCACTGGCACCTGCCTTGGCTGGCCTGGGGTCTGTGGGCAGCTCCTGCATTGAGCGTCTGCCCCCTGGTGGTCAGTATGTGTCATAGTGACCCGTCGTTCGGTCAATTTGCATATTAGGCTTTTATTATATAGGACTAGAGGCCCAGTGCATGAATTCATGCACGAATTCATGCATGGGTGGGGTTCGGCTGGCCAGCCCCAATTGGGGCCAATCAGGCTGGGCCAGCCTGGGGGAGGGACTGCGGGCAGTTGGTGGGCCGGCCCCGCCCCATGGTTGAACTCCTGGTCAAGGGGACAATTTGCATATTAGCCTTTTATTATATAGGATCTGCTTTTTAACATGACAGGAAGAGATAAGCTCTTATGTAAAAGAAAGGCCCTTCCTCCAGCTTAACTCACAGCTTTTTTTTAAACCAAGATTTAATGTACATTTATTCCTAACACATGAAACATATAATACAAAGATTTCATACTGAATAAATTATATTCATTAAGCAAAAAAGGAGGAATTTACATCAAGTTTTAGCTAGATTGTTTGACATACAAATATACAAATTTTTATCACTGAAAAAATTTCAATTGTGGTTCTTCACCAGGAACTTCAACTGAATGTAGAACTTTTCAGACCTCCATTAGAAAGAAAACAAAAACCCAGAAAAAAAACAACAACCTATAAGTTGATTGGCTGCTGAGACAGCAAGGACTTTTTACAGAAACCTGTATAATTCCACCAAGAGGCGTGATATCTGGCAAGAGATTAAATAGCTGGGTCTCACTTTGTGTAGGCCGTCACTTGTTAACTCATCATACTATAAAGGGGAAGCTGGGAGGGTGACCAAACTGTGGGGATCCGAGGGTATGTGCAATGAGTACAACATCATATATATGCACACATGTCCAAGGGTATGTGCAATGTACGATGCCATACACACACACACACACACACACACACACACACACACACACACACACACGTGGCAGCACAGTTGCTGCAGCTAAAGGTTAAAACCAGTTCTAAGAGGTGCTCTCAGGGTTGGTTATTCATACAGTGAAGGAGAGAAAGAGGTCAGGGTGTTGTAGTTTCACGCATGATATTTCGGGGAAAAGCCGCCCCCCTTTTTTTTCTCCTTTACATTTAACTAAAAACATTTTAAAAAGCTTGCTGCTAACCCATGATTTTTCTCGTGTCCATATGAGACATTGTTATTATAGTATGGTTACAGTATCAGGTGCACAGTTCAGTACACAAGAGGGTTTACACTCTTCTGCACAGGCCTCACCAGTGAATAGGGTCTGTCCACACCTGTGAACGTCTCAGTTCCTGCAAGATTGTGAATGTATGACAATAAACCACACGCACTTTGGCAGCCACATATTTTTGTCCTTCAAGGTGTGTTTTTTTTCTCCTTGTTTTTTTTTACAACCATTAAAGTTATGAAATGTGGTAGCCTATTGATGCAAGGACTATGAAAGTTATTTTTATCTTATATTTCCCCAAACTCACTGTAAATGACAGTAACTTTAGTTAAAATAAAAAAGTCTTCTTTGTAGGCAGAGCTTTGTCTTTTCTAATAGGGTGCAGTCCTGAGACTCACAGCTTATTTCAAAATAAGGACCCACATCATCAAAAGTCAGTTTTCCTTCAGAAGGATCTTTCTGGCCCTAATTTCCTGGTTCAGAGAATTAGGCTCATGCTGTTACTATGAGCATCATCAATAAACAGATTACGAATGGTCTGTGATGTGTTGAGATAATCATGTTGACATTTTTTGAGAAAGTTTCAAAAAGTCAATAGAAGTTCTTAAAGGAAAAACAAGATCAAGCTAAGTAGCAGAAATACCATATTACTAACATTTTGCTTTTATAATAAAATACTTTAATAGAGCCTAGATCAGGGTTTTTCTTGTTTTGTTTTTAAAAGCTAGTATCCATAGAAGTTTGTGCAAATTATCGTGTGTGTGTGTGTGTGTGTGTGTGTGTGTGTTTATGAGAAAAGGTCCATCAAATTTTGAAGAAGTCTATGAACTGAAAAAGGGTAAAACTCAGTGGTCTGGACCATTCAAACATCCTTGTCTAGGATTTTCTATGGCACCAATAGAGCACTTATTTCCTCTAGCCCTGAAATGTAACAAACATTTGTTGGGTTGGTTGTCCACCACTCACACCCCTTGTAGCAAGAATGCTGTAATTTTGCCTCACAGGAACTGCTCTCAGCATGTGGTGGACTCCATTCCTGAGAAACAAGGCAATCAGCACATCCTATCCCTTTGGCTAAAATGGAATGGCTCAGGGATTGGGCAGATCAGTGCCAATAGATAGCTATGAGGCTTTTGCTGGAGTTTCTGATACCCAAGCTGTGAGATCTGGGGCTTGGCATCACTGCAGTCATTCATGAGAAGAGGCAGAGTCAAGACAGATTTAACCCAGAGGATGTGAACTGAAGAGATTGGCAACTGCTTAGTTTCAGAATGAAGCTACCCCTGAAACCAGATCAAGCCATAAAATCCTTTTTTTGTTTAAGCCACTCTGGGACGTACTTTTTATTATTTATAACTGAAAGAGAGCTAATACTGTGCTTTTTCTTTGGATTGTGAACTCCTGAAGGTGAGAGTGATATTATATGCCTAATGACACATATAAAGGGTTCAGTACAAAATTTAAGCTGAATGGAAGATTAGTGTGTGTGTTTTTGCAAATGTTTTCATCTAACTTGGCTGTTGCTCAAACTGAAAAATAGTGCAGAATTGTTAGGCTGAATGAGCACCATTTGCTTTAGGGATTATTTTATTTTTGTGGTTAATTCTCACATGCATTTCTCATATATAGACACAGATGATGAAATAGTTTTGTTCCATAATTTCCAACAGTGCAGTATATACCCATGGATATGAAAAGTAGTTTAGAGTAACTATTCTCAACGAGATATTAATTTTTAAAAGTTTTTAAAGCTTTCCTGTTAGATAACCATCAGATATTTTTAAATTGTTAAAATGCCCGAATTATGAAAAATCTATTAAACACAATGCTTTTTTTTGTTTGACTTGCAGTATTATTCACTAAAGTTAATTCTATTACCCTGCACTTTATTTCTTTTTTTTTATTATAAATCACACAAAGTAATGTTAACTAGCAAAAGAAAATCAGCAATGCTTGTATTATGAATATCAGGGGGAAAAGCTCTTAAAAATTTAAACTACTTTTATACTTTAAGATTAGTGTGTGTGTATTTTAAACTACTTTTATACTTTAAAAGTAGTGTCAGGGATAAGAAAACACAGTCAATCCTCATTATTTGTGGATTCTGTGTTTGTGAGTTCACTTATTCACTAAAACTTATTTGTAACCTCAAGATCAATACTCATGGACCTTTTGTAATCATTCACAGACAGACATGCATGTGTACAGAACAGAGCACATTTTGAGTTACATTCCAGCTGAGATTGAACAAGATGATGCTCTGCCTCCTTGTTTCAGCTCATATGTGTAAACGAGCGTCCTTCTCATGATCTGTTTAGTGCCATTTATTTTTTTTATTTTTTGTGCTTCCTGTTAATAGTGTCGAGGTGCTGTCTAATGCTTCTAAGCACAAGAAGGCTTGGATGTGCCTTATGGAGAAAATATTGTGTTAGATAAGCTATGTTCAGACATGAGTTATAGTGCTGTTGGCTGTGAGTTCAATATTAATGAATCAACAACATGTATTAAACAAGGTGTCTTTAAACAGAACAACGTTATGTACTGATTGGTTGACAAAACTGTCTTTAAAAAACAAGGTTATGTACTGATTGGTTGACAAAAATGTTAACAAAAGCTCATAGGAATCTAACCCTGTATTTTCCCTAGGAACAAAGGTCCAGCATTTGCTAATTCAGTGTTTTTGGTGACTTTATAGAACATAACTATCACAAATAATAAGAACTAAGTTTCCAAGTGATACATTTATAAACATCATATTATAATCTGATAGTTTTTTCTTTCACTGTAGGGTTCTCAGGTGACTACTAAATATATTAATTTAACCTCTAATTGTGAGACTATGAGGTATCTGGGGAAGAAATAGTTACTACTGCTGATACGGAAACTGAAAAACTGAGGAACAGGTCCGAAGAATGTTTATTCCTTTACTTTCAACCTCTCTCTTCCTTATTTTCTTCACCCAATGATTTGAATACTTTATGTTTTTAAAGCAGTAATTTTATTTTTCACTCTACCTTTGTGAATAAGGTCAGCACAGGCAGAATAGTCCTAGAGGCAGAGAGATTTCTCAGGAAGAGTCTAAAGGAGTACTTGGCAAATTGTATGCTATTTCCTTGAAACCAGAGCATCTTGCTTCTGCCAAAAGAAAAACAAACCAATAAACGTAGGTGCTCTACACTTTGCTCTTTATAATATGAACAGTAAGCTGCAAGCCTATGATGGAATTTGAAGATTTCAGAATTGCTTTTTGAAGTCCAGGAGTGTCAGATGTTTGGCAAATCTCCACCATGCCTGCACACTCACTGTATTCCAAACAAAACCAAATTTAGAATGGGGCGGGGGGAAATCCATACTTATGGATTAGCTGTGTAGCTAATCACTTGGTTTCTGTAAGCAAACTGCATGGGTTCATTTGAATACAAAATTAAATCTTACCTGCAGATTTTGCCAGCATCCTGATGATCCCCTAAAATGTGGACTTTCCTGAGATGAATTTTATTCTCTGAGATAGCTTATCTTATTAGCAAGCATTCACCAACACCCAGCCATAAGTAAGCAGCACAAGTCCCCAGCTGAAGGTCATGAGATCTATGCCCCTCTGCGGGGATGGGAAACAGTTGTACAGAGGAACTATAGGGGAGAATTAGATCGAGTTAACTTGTCAGAAACAAAAATTTACTCTCAACTTCTCAAGTACTTTAAAAGAAGATTGCCATCATTTTTGAAAACATACAAATATGCTAGTGTTTCTACTGGAAATATTCCAGGAAGAGCAGTTTGATAATAGCTTCATGTCAAACACTAGGCTGTGAAGCTCCCTCATGCTGCTACTTTGTTTGACATAAGATACCCTACTTATTCCTAGTTATCCTCCATGTTTGTACTTAAAACAACAAATAGGATCATTTCACTTTTAACTGTTGACTTTATCATTTACCAATATCCCCAAGATGAATTCATTCTTGGAATATTCATAACTTTGCTTTACTCCTATCTCTTCAACTTCATCTATCACCTTCCCCTCCTTTATCTTGGCAAGTTGCAGACACAAAGATTCTCTTTCTGTTCCTTGAATGACCAAAGATAATTCCTTCATCAGGATCTCTGCACTTGCTGTCCCTTTATATGAAAAGCCCTGAAGTAGCTTCTCCTCACTTGGTCTGGGCTCATGCCACCTCCTTAGAGATGCCTTAGTGACTTTCTTACAATTATTATTGGTCAGCCCACTACCCTCTTTCTTCATACTTGCTATAGTTTTTTTTATACTTTACTATCTAAAATTTTTTCTTTACCTATATGACCCTTATACATAATGTGAGTTCCATAAGAGCAGGTACTGTTCACCCAGTATCCCCAAGCATCTACAATTAACCTGGCGCATAGTAGGTGTTCATATATTTCTTTGAATGTTAAAAGTATTGAAGTGAGTCTTTCTCCCCCTCTTTAGTCTCACCTCTAACCCTGATCAGACATTCAGAGTCACTATTTGGGCAGATGTCACATCATAACTAGAGGTTAGTGCTCCACAGTGTCCATAAAATTGTGGGTGAGGGTGCTGCGGCTGACCCCAGCCCCTTCACCACCACCTCAAATCTCCCCCTGCCCTGCTCCACAGCAAAACCGTATTAATTACATGCTAATCCCTACTGGTTACCAGGCTTCTCAGTATAAGATTAGCCTTAAACTCATTTCAGACAGAATGATAAGAGACTTTAAAGAAAAACACCAATCCATATCAAACTAGAATAAAGACCACAGGACTAAAAGATTTGATCCTAATCTGTGAAAACAACAACCTTTCCTTCACTCTTAAACCCTTAGTCTTCTACTTCTCCCTAAATCTCCCTACTTACTAAATAATCATTATGCATAAACAAAGAATGTGATGAGAATTTTGCAAGGATCTGCTACCCAGCATTACTCTAAGGTGGAAAATATATCTAAATAATTTCATGATATGCTGTGCCACTCGCAACAAATGTAAAGCCCTGATATACACACTTTCCATAAATTCAGAAGAATCAACAACTCTAAAAGGTGAATGTAATTGGAGACAACAGCTGCTAAACATGGCTTTGTCTACCCAGGATATAAATGAGGGGGAAAGTTGAATGTTAGCCATGTTTATACTAGGTGGAAATGTCTGCATCATTGAGAAGGCCCAATGCCATCAGTATCACATCTTTGTAGGGTATGGAGTTAAGGAAGCTGTACTATATGGAGGATAAAGGAAATTAACAGTTTTGTTGGAATAAAGGCAGAAAGACAGCCCTTGGAAATAAGAAGAATCAGACCATCTAAGACTGTGACGTGAGACTACAACTAGGACATTGAACTGCCTGACATGTTTTTGGTGGAGGGTTTTAAGATTTATTGATGTCTGGCTGGTAAGGAAAGGAAAATGTATTGCTTTTACCTAGCTGAGTTGAGACTAAGGTGTTAAAGCTTGAAAAAACAATTCACATTCACAATGGAAATCTGCTTCAGTATTTCCAACATGACAAAACACAGCATGTGGTCTTGGTTGTGCCCAAGACAAATAAAGCCTGTCACAGTAAAAAGAGTTGCTATTCATTCCAGATTTGCTGGAATATTTGTTCAACCAACCCAGAGTGCTAAGTAAAGTCTTCAGTGATGCTACAGCTAGTCTGTTTAAAATGAGTTCTCTTTTGTACTGCTAATCTTCATTTCTACTTTCTGTATGTATTTAATCACTTAAACATTGCATATTTATTTACTGAGCAATACTTTAGAATTATGTAATTTTTACTATCTGCATATTTTCCAAATGTCCTAAGGCACATGCATTTTACCATATTGTTAAGTTAACTTATTCCTTTATATGATAAAATTATATTAGAGCCTGATATAAAGAAAAAGTTCCATATACCTCTCCTAGGCAGAACTAAGACATTCAGGCTAAAATTCTGAACAATGGAGTCCACTTAGTTCTAGAAATAAAAGGTAAGATGAAAAAATTATACACTCCAACTGAAACTCTATAATATTCTTCTTAGAATATTTTATTAACTTTGTAAACCTAACACCATTGCTGTCAAAGTCACATTCACCTAGTCATGCCTTCTTGAAGTAAATCTTAATACAGGCTACTCTGTCAATGTGACATTTTCATTAGTTCTATTATTTTTTAACAGTATCTCAGCACTATAAAAATATTCTGAAAGGCAGTCTCTGGCTGTTAGCTCATGACTGTGAGAGGACAACACCTTTTTGATTATGTCATTGAATTTAGTCATGAAGTATGTGTCCTTACTACACAGAGACATAACTTTATCCTTTGTATTTTGTTACATGCCTCTGTGATACAAGCAAAAAGATCTGTGTTCATAATATCAAAGAATCACAATTGGGTCACCTTTGTCACATAAAAAAAAAAGCAAGAGGCATAAGACTGGATTTAGAATGTGCCTAAAACAAATTGCACAGCCGAACAATAAAGATGGTGACCCCTGCTGTTTCAAGTCCACTGCCGCTCAGGGGCACATCACCCTGAAAGAGAAAGGGAATGCTGGCTTTTAACAAAACTGAGGCTGACTTCAGTGGTCTTTATAGCAGAATCAAGTACAACATGGGGGAGGATTGATTGGACCAATTCAGCCCTCCTTGAAGTAAGATGAAGACAACTTAACTCTATAGCATTTTCCCTGTGAAGCACTGAAGGCATACCATTAAAGCAACTGATTAGAGTACAGAAAAAAGCCAGGGTCATTTGAGCCTCTATTAAGGATTATTCATTTCTTGCATGAGACGCTGACCAGACTATGGCTGCACATCACTTATATGGGACTCTTGGAGTCTTCAAACACTGTGTGTGTCTGATTAGAAGGGAAATAACATTGTTCTCGCTTGAGTAGAGAAACTGACCTTCACTGACCAGAATTTTTATTCATACAAAGAATCCTTTGGCACACCAAATCTCCAAGCTCACATAATCCCTCATCAGCAAGCCGCAGTGTTAGTTCATGTGCAAAATCAAAAAGTCTATCTAAGCCCAAGTACCACCTTGGTTATTAGCAGGTAATGTTGGAGCTTCTTCACAAGAGTATAATGTAAATTTAATGCTGTACTGACATTAACCAAACACTATTACCGTGGCTCTCACTGAACCTGTTCCATAAAGAGAGGCTCAGGGCTTCCATTTAGCCATTTGTGCCATGTGAGATGTTAAGTGCCCATTTCACATTCATTACCATCTAAGTATAACATTCCTATTTTATCCAGATGACTAGAAACACACACGCACATGCACACATGCGCGTACACACACACACACACACACATACACACACACCCCTATTGGGAACAAAACCTATTACAGGCAGTCCTCGGGTTACGTCAGACTCAACATGTCGTTTCGTGGTTACATTGCAATCTCCCATTTACAGTATTTATTAAAAAAATGTTCTGTCATTTCAACGTATGTACATATGTGCTTTGTGTTTTTTATTATTTATTTATCACAAGAAAAGGTCAGAAATTATCTTTCTTTTAAATTTTTTTTTTACTGTTTCACTTTATTACTGCTGTGTATGTGCTCCATGTGAGTGATGTAGGTGCTTATGTAGGTGGGTTCCGACTTATGGTGAAAATCGAGTTACTCACGCTGTAGGAAAGGATCTCCAACGTAACCCGAGGACTGCCTGTATTTTAGACTAGAGGCCTGGTGCACAAAATTTGTGCATGGGTAGGGTCCCTAAGCCTGGCCGGTGATCAGGGCTGATCTGTGGGGCGACCGGCGGGGTGATTGGGGGCCCCCCCCCCGCTGGCATCTGCCTGGTCAATTTGCATATTAGGGTTTTATATAGATAGATCACTGAAAGTGTATGTAATGATGTGGGGTTGCTCTTAGGGACTCTGGGTCACTGGGTTCTACCTAATCCAGGGAAACAGGGACAAATGCTCCTATGTGCATTTTGGTCAGTCAGCTATGTCCAAACATCCCTCTCCTCAAACAAGTGGCTGCCTAGCCTGGGATCTTGGTTACAAGTTTAGAGCCAAGAGTGACAAGGAGAGGCAGCATGCAAAGCTGAAAACTGAGCAGATACTTTGAGATGTCAATTCCAAGGGACTAAGCAGGGCTAGAATGAGTCTACAGAACAGAGACAGGGGCTGGGGGTGGAAGGCCTAACCTGGAGAGGGGCCCTCACCTCAGCCTCAGGAGTCAGGATACCTGGTCAGAGGAACTGCCTAGGAAGTGGAGGCAACTCAGACAAGCTGTTGCAACAAAGACCCTGAGCTAACCACCCACTTGTGGGCCCATTTGTGCATGGCCTCATGTTCAGCTTCATTCTTTCTTTTTTTTTTTAATTGAGGTATATTTGACATATAACATTACATTAGTTTCAGCTGTCCAACATAATGATTTGACATTGCAAAATGATCACCCAGCCCTGGGGAGCGAGAAGCAGCCTTTCACACCACACGTCCACCACACTCCCTGCAGCTTCTACTTCCAGATTTCAGTGCCAGTAGGTTCACCACACAGCGGGCCAGAGAAGCCAGTAGGGAACCAGTCTGAGAAAGGAATGAGTGGTCACAGACAAGCCTAGAGACAAAAATCCCTTTGCATTTCCCTTCCAATTATTACCATGACTGTGGGATTTTCAAGTGTCTATTCCTCAGTTTGTACACATCAGGTGCTACGTTAGTTTACATTCAACACAATGCTCTGTGAAAAAGTTCTTTAACTGTTTGAAGTGTGGGCCTTGCCTATCTGGTAAGATTATAGTTTAACTGATGGTATACAGCATTTAGTATATGCACTGTGCCCCCATATCCCACACCCTTCAAATTCTCAGTAAAATTAAGCCATATTTTTTTTTTCTTCATCCTGTTTGGTGTTTAGCCCATTTCTTTCCCTCCAAATAAAACTCTCACATGAAGGAATCAACTCCACATACTAGTTACAAACAACAAGAATCATGGAGAGATGTACTTCATTGGATTCAGTAGAAAAAAGTTAAACTCTTTTTTAAATTAAAAAAAATTTAATTAAATTTATCGGGGTGACAGGGAGTTAAATCTTAACTGAAATAATGTAAATATAGGAGATTACGACAGGGATATCTAATGGGCTACTGTAAATGTTATGAGAAAGGAAGAGAAGAACACCATGGGCTGAGATTGGAGGTGCTTCCACTAGAGGAGGATCCTAAATCATGGAGGATTTGGATGTAAAAAAAAGGGGGAAGCACCCAAAGTTGGGGTTAGACACAAAGGCGCTGAGTAGGAATGCTGAGGTTTGTTTGATGGGAGCCACTGAAGCGTTTTGAACAAGAATGTGATGTGATAAAATCAGTTTTGGAAGACTGATCTGGCAGCAGCATGCAGGATAGATTGCAGAGAAAAGGAGAATGGAGGTGGGAAAGAGTTAGGGGCCAATTATGGCAATTTAGGTGTGGGATGAGAGTCATTCATTTATTCATTCAAGTTATCTGATGTTTCCCATGTATTAGATGCTTTTATAGATGCTGGCTTCCGTGGTGAACAAGAAAGCAAAGTATCTTCAACAATAAAGAATTAAAAAAGAAAGCAAAGTATTTGCCCTCATGGGGTCCATATTCTAGTGACACTAAAGAGTCTCTTTAATGCCAGACAGCATCAGATAGTGATAAATAGAGAGAGGGGGGAGGGAGTAAAACAGAGTGATGTGCTATTGATAAGACAGGTCCTTTAATAAGGTACTCTGAGGTGTCATTTTTTGCTGAGACTAAAGGAAGAGGAACATTTGAAGGAGGAGCATTTAGGGTAGTACAAAAGCTCCAAGGTGAGCACTACCTTGGCTTATTAAAAAAATAAAAATGATTGAGTGGCTGAAGCACAATAAACAAGGGGAAGAGTGGCAGGAGACAGGGTTCAAAAACAGTCTCTGGGGATTATATCACTTAAGGCCTTGTGGGCTCTGTTAGGGAACACGGTTTTATTAAATACAATTAGATTTAGAGGAGGGAAGCAACATGATCTCAGATACATTTTTACAAGATCACTTTAGCAGCTATATGAAGAATAAATTGTTGGGGAACAAGAGTGGAAGTAGGGACTCAGTTAGGGGGCTAGTGCAGTAGCCTGGGTGAGAAGGGTGTGGATGAGGGCAGAAATAGGGCCAACGAGCCTTGACAATGATTTGGATATGAGGAACGAAAAGATGATGGTAAGGACATTGCCAGTTTTTGGCCTTGAGCCTCTGGTGGGGGCTGTGCCATTTACTAAAATGAGGACAACTGAGGCAGGAAGAGGTTGAGAAATGTATGGAACCCAGACCTCAATGAGGGACAAGTGGAGAGTGGCATATGCAGGTTTTATAGTCAGGAGAGAAGCCAGAGCTAAAGATAAAATTGAAGACTCCATCAGTTTAGGATTTGTATTTACATGTAGGAAACTAGATGAGATCATTGAAATAATAATATAGAAAAAGACAGGACAGATCTCTGAGGAAATCCAACATTTAGAAGTTGGGTAGAGAGGAGCCAGCAAAGTAGGCAGAATAAAAAGTTGGTGAGGTAGGATGCAAACCAGGAAAGTGTCATCACAGAAACCAAGGGGGGGAAAGTGTTTCCAGAATGAGGGCCCAATGTCAAAAAGAGTGATGAGTGCTCGGACTAGAAAAGGGATAGTGAAAGAATCTGCCACAAGTCAGATATGTCTGCTGCTGCTGCAAATGAATGAAATCTTCCAACCAATGCCCACCCCTAAAATGAAATACCTGTCTGGTTCTTGCCTAATATAACTTATTAACTAAAAATAGATATTTTTGGTGAGGATGTAGGCTATGCATTGGGGGAGAAGAGTAAAGGCAAAAGGTGATTGAGTGTCTTAAAAAGAGACAATAAAAGTAAAAACATTTGTATAAATTTGAAGCAGAATAGAGAAATAAGGCTTAATATTTTATTACTAAGTAATACTACAAGTAAGGTATTATTATTAATACTAGTATTAACGATGATGATGGATCTATTGACTGAAATGTGCTTTCAACTCAAATGGAAGATTTAAATCACAAGTATAGCAGTCTCAGAAATAGGGAATTACAAAACTGAAAAATATTTCAAACAAATAGTTGAAGATTTAGGATTGTGGACATCACTGAAATACAAATTTCGAAGACAGGCTATCACTAATTAAAGAACCAACATATTTATCTTCTATTAAGGATGTCACTAGGTGATGATTTCATAGAGGTAAACCCCAAAAGACAGGCAACTGCCACTAAGTAGTTCAGAGATGGTAGGCAATTATTCATCTCTTTAAGGCTCAGTTTTATCTTTACTGTAAAATGGAAAGGCTATGCCTCGTTCTGTTCTCTTATTTAACTGAGACCTGGAGAAACTGTGCCCATAGGCTTTGGGAACCAAATGTCCTCCTGATCAGGGAAGGGAAAATCACAAGCAGAAGAAATGCCATGGCAATAATCCAAAACTTCAAAAGGCCCAGAACAAATAATTTGAGGCAGTTTAAAAATGCCAGGCCTTTAAAAAAAACAAAATTTATGTACAGATCTAAGCAAA